CTAAAGTCGGCTGTGGGCTATGTATGCCTGAGGATTTCACACCTGATCTTTTCCCGCCAGGGAGGAAACATACCAAATTTTATTAAAATCGCTCCAGCCGTTTAGACGTGAAGAAGTAACAAACATACACACTCACAAACTTTCGCCTTTATAATATTAGCGTGATTTAAATTCGAACTTCTAAAACTTGTCAGTAATTACGTAATTTATCAAGTACGACATATCTCTCTCTGGTAACTAAATAAAGTCTAATAATACTTATAAGTAGTTTATAAAGACCCCATTCGGAAATGTGGTCCAAAGCCTGATTGAGTTTAATGATAAGATTCTCCTGTTTCTCCTTGGTTACCGCCTGCCCATCCGCTGCTTGTCCGAGATACCCCGCATGCACTGTACTATCGTCTGCATAGCAATGAATATTCCCAAGAGGAATTAAGTCATTGATATGCAGCAGAAAGAGAGTGGGGGATAGGACGGAGCCCTGAAGAACGCCGGCATTCACTGACATGAACCGCGAACTGCTACCATCCGTAAGGACACGAATTCTACGCTCATGCAGGAAGTCAGCTACCCAAGAACAGAACTGGGCTGGCAGACCGTATGCCGGAAGCTTGGAGAGAAGGCTTTTGTGCCAGACCCTGTCGAACGCCTTGGCAATGTCAAGGCTGATAGCCAACGACTCGCTACGCTTGTCGATAGCCTCACCCCAGATATGAGTTAAGTACGCTAGAAGATCACCCGTCGATCGTTTCGGTCTAAAACCATATTGACGATCATTAATCAGGGAGTGATCCTCTAGGTAGCGGGTCAGATCGTTATTAAGGACCTTTTCTAGAACTTTACATAAAACTGAGGTGACTGCTATTGGCCGGTAGTTTGCCGGGTCTGAGCGATCCCCTTTTTTGGGCACCGGTTGCACATTAGCATCTCTCCAAGTCTCCAAGCGCGTGAGCACGGGAGACAACTCCGCTGCACATTTTTTCAGTACTACTGCTGGTATGCCATCAGGTCCACTAGCTTTCGAGTGATTGCAATTCGGCACGAACCTCACGCTGCCTGATTTTAATATCAGGCATCGTTGTGCCACAGTGAGGTAATGATGGTGGCGCAGTGCATTGCAATCATCGATTCGGGAGTTAGCCGCAAAGAGTTTTGCCAGTAATTCGGCTTTCTTCTGAGGCTTATGGGCTATGGGCAGCGAGGGCTGGCAGAAGTTTTTTTGCACGGCCTTGGCCAAACGCAAGTAGGTACGGCAGCCCGTAGGATGCGTTATAAGTTCCTGGCCAACACGTGCAACGCGCTAGGCATCCGCTCTGATGTAAGCCTTCTTACAGGCCTTGGAAGCAAAATTGTAGGCTGCTTTAAGTGAATCGACCTCGGGATCCTTGAGAGCGCGGCCTCTGATCCAAGCACGATATGCCGCTTGCTTACGCGAAGCAGCTTCAGCACAGTCGTGATTGAACCAGAGGTTACGTGTGCCCTTACTGATGAGATCAGAATGAGGAATACAGTATTCCATACCCATTATAATCTCCTCAGTAATGGCAACGGCACTGGCCGATAGGTCCCTGTCACTGAAGTAGCGCTGCTTCCAAGGGACGGACGCAAAGTAGTCACGCATACCGTCCCAATCTGACGACCCATAATGCCAGATACGGCGCTTGACCACTGCTGGACGCGGAGGCTTGGCCTGTGGTGCTTTGGCAGATATCAGGCAGTGGTCTGACGAGCCCAGGGGGGCTCTTACCACAACCTGATAGCCCTGTGGATGGGTCGTGAGCAGAAGGTCCAGTAAAGAAGTCGCTTGGCTTGGAATATCTGGGATCCTGGTGGGCTGATCAACCAGTTGTTTCAGGTCATGCGTGAGAGCGAATGTGTGAGCAGAGATCCCTGCATCGTCAGTTTTGGAAGAACTTAACCACAAATTGTGGTGAGCATTAAAGTCCCCCAAAACACCAATTCTGCATTGGGAAATTGTTCCTGCGCGCCATCTGCTGCCCGACTAAGGTGCTAAAAAAGTCGAGTTGTCTCAACATCGTCGGTGTGGGATCTGTAGAGGCACACGTAGACTCTGGCCAGGGGGTCAGAGTCGACGTGTGCCCCCAGCATAGAGGAGGGATCTTCCAAGCAGCGGAGACGGCGACAACAAACATGCGCCCGAACATACAAGCATACACCGGCTTTCGCTTTGAAGGACTCTTCAAGCACGTAGCCGGGATAATTAAGGTAGCCTGTGTCAGCAGGCGGAAGTATTTGTGTCTCCGTCAGGAACAACAATGCTGGCCGTCTGTCTCAAGATGGTGGCGGACAGCGTTGAGGTCAGAGTGGAGTCCGCGTATGTTGCAGAACTCGACCTCAAACAGCGTTGAAGGCGTGCGGTTGTGCACCGCTGTACGTCCAAACTTTGTTCTAGAGGCTGCCATGGTGGAAATGAAAAAAAAGAGACGCGAAATCGAGCGGACGCTGTCGAGAAGAGTCCGGGCAAATAAGGGAGGTTTGTTTTCCCGATTGACTGCCTGCAGAGGAGATAGTACAGTCAATCTGTAGGTTGAGTGGTGAAAAAAAAACCTAAAGGGTAAGTCTTGTTTTTTCTGTTGCCAAATGATGTCAGTAAGCCACCTTGGCGATGGGCATGTTCAACTCGTAGGCGTTTTTTGAAAAACTCAAAAAAACCGTCAAAATTTTTTGAAACGCATTTTACTTGTTTTGTATGCATTTTAGAAACTTTATTTTTGACCATAATTGTAGAGGGCGTTGAGTACTACAATTTATGTCATTGTTGCAATCTCGTACAACAAAAAATGCGCATTGTAGGTGGCGCTAAAGTCTCAAACAAAGGGTTTTTTCACTTTTTCTCCCTGAAAATATCATTTTAATGGAAAACTTTAAATGGCAAAGTTGTTTCGTACATAATTACCAACAACTTTTGTATAAACAATTTTTTTGTATTACTTACCGTTTTCAAGTTATAAATTGCGCAGGTATGAAAAATCCAATAGAGCGGTTTTGGGCAGTTCCCGTACACATTTGCAGTGCACATTTCAATCAGGGGGTAGAATTGATCAAAATCCTTTCTTAGCGGATGCCTACGTCATAACATCTACCTGCATGCCAAATTTCAGCCCGATCCGTCCAGTGGTTTGGGCTGTGCGTTGATAGATCACTATGTGACTCAGTCACCTTTGAGTTTTATATATATAGATGTAGATGAAAAAAATAATAAGCTTCTGTTAATTGATTTTAATAACAGATACTTATTAACATTAAATTAAATTATGTATTTTTTAAAGAGCTAAAAAACAAAATAAATGCTTGTCATATCGTTTGGCCCGCAGACATGTTACACATTTAATAACGATAAAAAAACGCACGAAACGGAATATTAAATTTAGCATAGGTTTTTACCTACGTCAGTCTTTTGACCTTACCTAGAGTTCATCGTCTTTCAATGTGTATAACTGTATACCTTATAAATATGTATATACAGCACATCGAGATTAGAGGTTATCAAGTCACACTTTAACCCCACTATAAAACCTGATTTATAAAAAAACACTATAATATTAAGTTGATTTGAATTATTCTAGAAAGTTTTCATTTAAAAGTTTTAAATTAAATTTCATATAAAAATCAGATAAAAAGTAAGTAGTGCTTCTCAAAATCAAAATTTATAAAACAACGGTGTACCCCGTGAAAACACAATAAATATAAAGATACATATTCCGCATCTGGGATCAAATGGAATTAGGCATGGTGCACTTAGATACTGCTAAATACTCATTCTGCGTCGACGTTATGACGCAGAAGGAGGTCGCGGAGAGGGCCCGGGAAGAAGACCCAGAGGCCGCTCCTTGCCGCCGTCGAAGGTTGGGGCGGAGGAGGCGGACGTACGCCCGCCTACTTCCTCTTGACGGTAACCAGCGGGGTCCAGGCCCGGGAAGCCCGGGCCCTGCATTGCGCCGGTTGCCGCCAGTCGCTGATCCCCTGGATGCCCCGGGGGATCACCGGCCCTCCCATTTTGGGGGGGGGGGGGGGGGGGGGTGAGTGGGGCTGGCCATAGGCGAGCAGACGCCGACGAGGTCGTGGATGTGTTCTCGCGAGTTCCCATGACTTTGTTCGGCAGCGACGCGTCTCTCCCCGACGTGTCCTCTTCGTCAGAAGACGATGAGGATGCGGCGGTGACGGACATGCTAGCGCCAAGGCGTATGTGAGGGGCATCGGTGGGTTTTTACTATCTGCACCTCCCCCCTGGTTTGGAGACCTGTCGCAGTTTCTGATTATCTCTGTTATGGGGGGGGGGGGGGGGCGTAGCCCTGCTTGCCTTAAATACGGCCCTGAATAGTATTATAATCGATAAAAATATTGATGTCAAATATAGTCACTCACCAGGAGCAAATTTGAGCCCGAACCACACTGACATGGGCATGATGCCGTGGTGGATGACGTGCAGAGTGGAGACACTTTATAATATGCTTTCTTAACTAGTGATTTTTTAATGGTCGATTTAAATTTAGTCATGCTTAACTCTTGAATATTGCTTGGAATTTTATTGTAAAAGCGAACACTAAGACCTCTAAACGAATTATTGATTTTGTGGAGCCTAGTAGCAGGTAAAGTTAAGTTATTTTTATTTCTAGTATTATATGTATGTATTTCACTATTTTTAGTAAACAAATTAATATTTTTTTTTACAAATACTAAGTTGTCATATATGTATTGTGATGCAACTGTCAATATACCTATTTCTTTAAACTTATCTCTTAATGAATCCTTAACTTTAAGATTATAAATTGATCGAATAGCCCTCTTCTGCAGCACAAATATAGTTTGAATGTCGGCGGCATTTCCCCACAGTAAAATACCGTAAGACATTACACTATGAAAATAACTAAAGTAGACTAATCTGGCAGTTTCTATATGCGTTAACTGCCGTATTTTCATTACGGCCCTGAATAGTATTATAATCGATAAAAATATTGATGTCAAATATAGTCACTCACCAGGAGCAAATTTGAGCCCGAACCACACTGACATGGGCATGATGCCGTGGTGGATGACGTGGAGAGTGGAGACGTGCTCGTTCTTCTTGCGCAGTACGAAGAACAGAGTGTCGAAGAACTCCGTGAACTTGCTGAAGTAGTACCACCAACAGGTGTTCGCCATCTGTCACCATACCACTATGTTAATTGGTACAACTATGGTAATGAAATTGAGATATTGTAAAATACTCAACACATAACATCATCAGAACATTAACAATGTTAATATTAATATTATGGCAACACATCAAACGACGGACACTACATTTGACATAGGGCGTTGGAGTCGAGTTTTCTGCATAAGTTTACTTGTCTAGCTTATACTAAACGTTGGACGTAAAAGTTAAAAGCCGTCTCCATTAAAGTTTTATAAATCAAAGTAGTAATGTCGTGTAGCATAATTAAGAAATACTAGGATTTTTCAATAAATGACAAAGTCGTGTTAAGTGATAAATATCCATTGACTAGTTTTGATTTTATAGAATTACGTAGAATGTTTTTCTGTATTTCTGCTAAGTCATGTTTGTTTTTAATTATGTTAATTTTTCTCATGGCTCATGGCTATAGTCAGCGCAAAACTATCATAATTGGACGCCTGTATACAATAATAATTAAAACACGTTTAAACTTCATATATTAATATTCTGAAGGCTAAATATATTTATGCTATAAATGAGATGTCAATGCCAAGGAGAAGGTCATTGAAAGATTAATTCGACATAGGGAGCTATATTATATGAGAATATACTTTATAAACTATTATATTTATGATTAGATACTAAATGGCAACCCCTTTTGACGTGATGAGTTTTTTTAATATATTTAGATTATCCTAAACGAGTAATTGTTACTATTCTTGTAAAATATAGTACGTATGTAAACTTCCTGTTTTAATGTAATAAACGATAATACTTATTATGCTAAAAACCAAGAATTAGAGAATAATGCGGTTAGTTATTGTCAAGCCTTCATCTCTTGGACAACTGGGTCATTGAGATTCTTTCATTGTTATACAAAAGGTAGTTTGCGCTGTACACACGGCAGCCAACACACATTGTCGGGGCCGCGACGAAATCGCAAAGGCAGGTCAAACACAGACGGTGACTTCGGACGTGCGGAAGTTATAATAATAATTTAGGTAGGGAACACAAGATTTACTCACGACCTTGCCCCATGCAAAGGCTGGCCATTCGAAGACTCCAAAGTCCCAAACGAATAATATTTAGAGCGTGTCAATAAATAAGCTTTAGATATTTTTGAGATAAATATGGTATCTTCGCCTTAAAATATGGACATTTGATGCTTAACAAAAAGTTGATTCAGTCATAACAAAATTATGCACATTTATTTCTTCTGTAGAATATGTCAATTAAAGTTTTCTTGAATGTCGAGTTGTACAAGTGGTTTATGATGGCGAAATACAATATAGGTACTTATAACATAACGTGTTTGATGGTAACGAAACAAGAAGCACAAACGTAAATATTGACTATTATCTCAAGATATTGCTTGAGAGCAATGTATTTTTACACGTATAATTACACTCGACTGCAATGACGTTAAATAATTCAAAGAATTTTCGAGTCGTTTTACTAATACGATACGTTATTGGCTGTTGCTATAGAAAGTGACTCACTATCTATACGTGCAACAGGTGACATAATAGTTTTACTGACTTGCTTCGTTCTATGATGAATTAGAATACAGTAAATATCAGTGGTCGAATGTGCAAATTATATATATTATACTCACTCTCATTGCCATTGGACTTCGAGAATAGTCGACAAGCTGGCATGTGAAATTGTATTGACCCCACCATCCACTCATTAAATACTGCAACAAAAGGATTAGTATGTGTTGATTTGCAATATATTTCTTTATCTGCTTTGTGAAGACATTTATCAAATTAAAAATTCTTCATAATTGAAAATAGTAATTAACAACAAGCACAAACAAAAATATCATATTTTAAAAAATATTGCATATTTACTTCTTCCTTCCTTCATCTTCATAAATATAAGGACAGGAAAAAAGGAAAAATATATCGTATAAAAATGTTGGTGGTGTATGCATAAAAATATTATGAAATTAAACTTTGTAGTAATTTAGTAGGAAGTTGTTAGCAGCTATTAAAAATACTCACTTCATAAAATATCCAAGCACTGAAAAGTGTTTGCGCTAGATTGTAAAAGATAAGGATATTCCTTAACTCGAAGGGTTTACGGTTGGCCATCAGCTGCGGCCCTAGTATACGGGCGCAGTACGCGTACGTCACGCATATAGCTAGCGTGGGGAGCGGCGATGACGTCATCGGCCAGTCTTTCACGCGAGGATCTAAAACAATAACAAACACATAATTATAAAGATGTATAAAAGTTAATTATTATAACCCACATGTTGGCTACCTCCGTGGTAACAGTGGTAAGCTCACTCACTCAGTTCCAATCCCAATGTGGCAAATGTTTGTATGATGAAAACCATTCATTTTTAAGTCATGGCTGTTCATATAAATTTAAGTTCATATAAAATACGTGTGATTATTAATTTCTATCCGTTACCCTAGAATCCCACATAACACAACCCTTAGTGCTTTATTTAGGCTGATTAGTATTTAAAAAATGAAAGGGTCTTTAACAACGATATTAATCAAATCAAATCAAATCAAATCAAAATCATTTATTCAGTTTAGGCTGTTACAAGCACATATGAATGTCTAGAAGCTACGCCATCGGTTCGTAAATCTACGGCGGGAGACCTTGTACTGAGAAGAACCGGCAAGAAACTCAGCAAGGGCTGTTTTTTTCTCCCTGTTTTATTATTTACAGAGTCGTCAAATTGAAAAATGACTTCAAAGGTGATTCATGAAGTCACTTTTCATTACATAATTATTAAATATACATTAATTGTTTACCTGCATTTTGATTGCTGTGTCATACAGTATAAATACAAATAGTGTTATTTATATTCAGTGTGACTAAACATTAACTTCAATATTAAGGAAGTTAGGGCAGACTCATCTCCGCTGGCAGCACCCGTTCACGAGCATGACGCATGAACCAGCCATCGCTTCGCTCAACCATATTTTAGGGAACGTAACGACCCGCCTCACACGACACCGCCGAAGAGACTATTATGAGAGCATGACTACCCATAACTACCCATACTAACTACAACATATTTACTTAAATTAAGGTCATTTACCTGTAAGACACAACAAACAATTACAAAACAAAGCAAAGGAGAAATCACGACCACGCCGTTTTGTCAATCAAATATTCTTAAACAGTTTGATAATCTTACTTAAGTTATCAACTTTATATACAGCTTTCAGCTTAATTATAATATTGTCAACACATAATTCATAATTTAAATCATATAGAAATACCCGTTGGAATGGTTGGAACAGTTCATACCCAAGCATTTTTGTCTGTAATATAATCAGACACTTTATAATATGCTTTCTTAACTAGTGATTTTTTAATGGTCGATTTAAATTTAGTCATGCTTAACTCTTGAATATTGCTTGGAATTTTATTGTAAAAGCGAACACTAAGACCTCTAAACGAATTATTGATTTTGTGGAGCCTAGTAGCAGGTAAAGTTAAGTTATTTTTATTTCTAGTATTATATGTATGTATTTCACTATTTTTAGTAAACAAATTAATATTTTTTTTTACAAATACTAAGTTGTCATATATGTATTGTGATGCAACTGTCAATATACCTATTTCTTTAAACTTATCTCTTAATGAATCCTTAACTTTAAGATTATAAATTGATCGAATAGCCCTCTTCTGCAGCACAAATATAGTTTGAATGTCGGCGGCATTTCCCCACAGTAAAATACCGTAAGACATTACACTATGAAAATAACTAAAGTAGAGTAATCTGGCAGTTTCTATATCCGTTAACTGCCGTATTTTCATTACAACATATGCTGCAGAACTAAGTCTCTTCGACAATCCATCAATATGTGGGCCCCACTGCAGCTTAGAATCTAGTGTGATTCCTAAGAACACTGTGGTATCTACAGAGCTCATATGTCGATCCTTTATATTTACATTAGTTTTTACCTGTTTCACATTAGGTAATACAAATTTCAAACACTTAGTTTTCCCTTCATTTAGCATTAAATTATTAACATTGAACCAGTGGACTACCTTCGAAATAGACCTGTTCACGTCATCAATTTGTGACTCCCTACGTTTAATTTTAAACAAAAGTGAAGTGTCATCCGCAAACAATACTATTTCGTGGTTATCCTTTACAAAATAGGGCAAGTCATTGATATAAATTAAAAATAAGAAAGGACCAAGGATTGAGCCCTGCGGAACTCCCATCTTAACCGACGAACCAGGAGATTTTACTCCATTGATGTCAACCCTCTGAACCCTATCACTCAAATAAGATACAATAAGATCCAGAGTGGTATCTCTAAATCCGTAGTGGTGAAGTTTCCTGATTAATGTTTCATGAAAAACGCAATCAAAAGCCTTTGATAAGTCACAAAATACACCTAATGCATCTTGCGAGTTCTCCCAGGCATCAAAAATTTGCTGTACAAGCTCAACACCGGCATCGGTTGTTGAGCGACCCCTTGTGAAACCAAATTGTTAACTATGAAGAATGTTATTACTATAAAAATATGATTGCATTTGATCTAGCATAATTTTTTCAAAAATCTTACTAAAGGTGGGTAACACGGATATAGGTCTAAAGTTTGTGGGGTCAGATGTGCTACCCGATTTATGTAATGGAGTTATTTTACTGAGTTTCATTAGATCAGGAAAAACACCACAGTCAACACATTGATTAAAAATGCTAGCCAAAATAGGAGCTATTGTCTCAATTACTGATCCAGAAACATCCACGGAGTTACCCCACAGATCCGCAGTTTTCTTTTTATTTAATTGGTTGAAATATTTTATTACATCTTTACAGTTAACATACTTAAATTTAAATTGACTAGTATATTGTTTTGTGTGTTCTTTTAATATTGATTCAGCAGCAATGGGGGACGAGTTCAAAGATTTTGTAGTTGAAACTGGAATATCAGTGAAAAAGTTCTCAAATGCTGTAGCAACTTCAACATCTGATGTAACATTTCTATGTTCAATGTTTAAATTAAAACTAGTATTTCGAGTTTTAGATTTTCCAGTTTCATTGTTTATAATGTTCCAAGTCATTTTGATTTTGTCACTACTATTCTTAATCTTACTACTTAAATAATTTGATTTTGCTGTACGACATACTTTTTTAAATAACTGAATAATTACGTACGTACTCTTTGAAACTTTCACTAGTATTAATGCTGCGTTCATTGTAAAGTTCATAAAGTTTCCTTCTACTTTTATGTATGCCTGGGGTGGCCCACTCGCTGAAAGTTACTGCATCACTAACACATATGGTTTTGGGAACAAAGACATCATTAAATTCTTTACAAAATTTATTAAAAAAATCATTATACATATCATTTGGACTACTTTTATACTTTAAATAACTCAAACTCCTATCTAATTGAATTTTAAAACGCTCTATACGGTTAACAGATTTTGGCACAATAGTAATATATTTCTTGGTGATATTTTTATTTGGATGTGGAAAAGTAATCATCTGGCCACAATGATCACTATCCAGTTGATTAACAATTACTTTTGAATGTGGTATTATATCCGTATAAATATTGTCAATACAAGTGACCGAAGTGGCAGTTATTCTAGTAGGCTCCATGAACAAGTTTTCAAGATTATATGATTGAAATAGATTTCTTAATTTAATACTCAAATTAGAGGTTTCTAATAGATTAATATTAAAGTCACCACAAACAATTAATCGTTTACCAATGTTGACAATTTTTTCTAAAGCTTCATCCATAATAGTTTCAAAACAATCATACAATGCTGAAGGAGGTCTGTATACACTCAATACAACAAGCTGGTCCAGTTCCACACAGGCAATCTCTATTGTTCGCTCAACCGAGAGGCTCACAATATCTTTACGTTCCTTAAATTTAAGTGCCTTATTTAATAAAATTAAAGAGCCACCGCGAATCGCATCTTCTCGACTGAACGAACTACCAACCTGATGATTATTAAAATTAAAGATGAATTGATGACTTTTAAGCCAATGCTCTGTGATACAAAATATATCTAAATTGTTACAATTCAAAAATAATTCAATTTCTAAGTCCTTACCCATCATTCCTTGAATATTTATATGCATCAGGTTGATCAAGTTTACGTTTTCTTTTAATTGTTTGGGATTTTTCTTAATTAAATTAATATTTTTATGCAAGTTATTACAATAATTATTTATTATTAAGCAAGACGAGTTGTCTGTTGTCTCATTATTTAATTTAAACAATAGTTATTATTTTGTAATTTGTCAGTAGAAGAATTACTGACTGTCAAGTCAATGGAACATTGCTCAATAAAAGCAATTTGTTTAGCCAAGTTTTTGGCTGTTATATAAAAATAATATGATAGCGACTTAGCTATCTGTCTTTTATAATAATTAGAAAGATAATATTTATCTTTGGTCAATTATAAATTTCTAACATAATTGTTAGTGTCAATAATATGAAATTTTTCACTTTTACACATTGTGAAAATACCCTAGATACAGCAACACCAACAAAATCGTGCCCGAAACCTGTCCAAAAGGTACATTGAACGATCCACGGAGCTCCGTAAGATGATCGCGTAGTTAAAATCAATATAAGGCATTATTAAAATATTGAAAGTAACTTTAAATATATACTGTATAAGGTCTTAAATAAAACGCATGCGTCAAGGACTTCTGACAGTTCGAAATGCAAGCTCGTAAAATTCTACGACTCATTGCTATATGCAGGAAGAATTTAGACCTTAATTCTTTGAACCAAGGCGCTATTCTGAACGCGCTGTTAGCAATATAACAGGCACGGAACGCGAGGAAAAGAGACGGCTATATGGCGACGTATAACCGACCATGCATTTGAATATAACAAATATGTTATATTAAATCAGTTTATAGTAAGTATTAGATCAAAATTTACTTCAAATGCGTTAAATTAACAAACATTGACTAGATACCTATCGAAAAAACGACACTTTTCGTACTCTAAAGAATTATTTTCGCATTTTTTCGCGGAGCTCTGTGGCATCTTGACTTTGTAACGGTCCGCGCGTGACTGTGAACCAAGAAGTGCTTGAGTGGAGTTCAAGCACTTCTTGATTGGGACACATTTTGAGCGCTCGTGGTGTATCTAGGGTATTTAATATCGTTGGTCTTTAAGGACATCTTTTCATTACAAAGTATTCCCTCGAATGCATTAAAAATACACTTACATTTCG